TCAGGGAGCTGAGATAGTGATGTGAGCCAATTAGGCCCCAAGCACAGCTGAGGGCTATCGACATAACCATTTCCACCTACAGGGGGAAATAGGCGATTAAACAGAAAGGCCTGCAAGGCCGGGATGTCCAAACTATAAAATCTAGCAAAGGTGGACGGTGACGACCAGCCGGCGGCCACACAAAATTCACCAATAGAAACCTCGCTGGACCACACCCAGGAGGAGGCCATCTCTCATATGGAGTGGGCCCTCACACCTATAGGGCACTGTAAGCCTGCCGAGGCATAAGCCAAGCCAGCGAGAAAGCCTCTGCTTTGTGACTGGCAGCCCTTGGAGGCGGCCGCCGGCCTCCAAAGCCAACAAAAAGCTGCTCTGAAACTGTCTGAACAGGCTGGTCAGGTCAACCGCAGGCAAGAACGGGGCAGGTCTTTGGCAAGAGGACTGCTGACGGCATCCCGGCAGGAACAACATGTCCAGTAGGTCATGGGTAGGCTCTTTCGGAGCCGACCACTCGAGGCCCAGGTCCTCCACAGCCTTAGACAGGACGCGGATGAGTTCAGCGTCCGGTTTCAGGCCTCACTGTATGAGAAGGGGGAAAGGGCTTCGGGCTCTCCGCCGGAACCTCACCACTCTTCTGCGTCTGATGCCGCTAAGGACATGGAGTCGTCAGCGGTGACGTCTTCGACACCTTCGTGTGTAAAGCACACCGGCGAGGAGACGCAGGGAGAGCAGGGCACGCAGGTGCTGAGCCGACGTAACACCACCTGATCCCATGGAAGTGGACCCGCTACGCCACTGTTTCTTTCTCTTGTGAGAGAAAGGAAACGGGGGAGTGAAGCGAGGAGGTCCGCCTTCATTAAAGAAGGCAATTCGCGAGTGGAGACAGGAGAGAGAAATACTCTCGCAATGAGAGCATGATCCCCCAGTGAGCGCAGCCTCTGCGTGGGCACTGCCAAGGCAGGCGACGCACTCGCTGTGCCCATCTGTCTCGTGCAAGGGGTCCATTGGTTTGTGCATTGGTTTGGTTTGTGCAGCTACACAAACGTGAACAAATCAAGCTTCAGATCAGGGAAAAAAGGAGATAACCCACACTCAACGTGAGAGTACGTTCGAAAGGGAACTGTAAATCTATCCCTCACAGCCTTGATTTGATCTGCCAAAAAAGCAGTATGTCGTCTAATCTGTCTATAAATCTCTATAAAGTCACAATTACCTGTGTTTTTTTTTTTTTATTCTACGGCAGAAGCAGGCGTCCAACAAAGTTAAATGCGTTACCAGATATCCCAGGATTACATTAGTCTGGGGTTTGGACTGACACTGAAGCATGAAAACCCAATAAAGTCTTTCTTTCACAGGTTTCGTCTTCAGGCTGAACCTCCAGTGACCAAAGAATTTGCTAAATACGACAGCCAGTCAGAAAGCACGTACAACCAATTCATCTCGATCTACGGGACACACTTCTTGCGAAGAGTCAACCTTGGTGGCTACGAACGTTCAACCACCGCTGTGAAGACCTGCCAGGTTTCCATGAAGGGTCTGTCGGTACATGATGTGAGCAACTGCCTATCGGCGGAGGCGTCTGTCGTCATTAAGGGCGTGGAGGTGAATGGGCAGGCAAGCTACTGTTAAAGCAAAACAAAATAAACTGGAGAGGGGCAACAGCTTCAGCGGCTCCTTCTCCGACCGAGTCACTGAAATACTGGGCGGCAACGGTGAGCAGCAAGACATCATCTTCACTCCAAGCAACATTAGTGGTTATGACGTGTGGCTCAAGTCATTGAAGAAAATTCCTGGAGTGGTTTCCTACACCTTGAGCTCATTACATATGCTGGTGAAAAACAACCCAGCTAGACGAGCCAGTCTTCAAGCGGCCATCAGCAAGTACATCACAAAAAAACGCCATATCTACTGCTTGCCCTTCCAGCTGCAAAGTGGGCCATCATGCCAATAACTGTGCATGCAAATGCAACGGTCATCAAAGTGTTGATAACAACTTCTGCCAGAGTAAGGCAGGAGTTGCCACGTTGATCGTGACCGTGTTGAGTGCTAAGGGATTATGGGGAGACTATTTCAATAAAACCAATTTGTAATGTGAAAGTGTTCTACGGAAACAAAGCGTATGAGACCCCTGTGATTATGAACGACTTTTCTCAGTGGAACTACAAAATAAATGTTCAAACTGTGGATCTGACTCAAAGAACGCAAGTGGTTATGTTCACAAAACGTAATCTTAGTTTCGGTTTCTGTCATTAAATTGACTTTTTGAAACTTTAAATAAAAGAAATATCTGTTGTTTGTACTTCATATCATGTATATACTTGTCTTACAGGCACTTGCGATTTGAGGTGTGGGACCGTGACAACTGGTATGATGATGATCTATTAGGAAAGGGTTCTCTTGTCCCACACAAAGGAACCAATCTACAGTCTTCGTTTAAATTAAACCACGGCTCTCTTTTGAGCTCCTATACTGCAACGTGTGGCCCACATTTTACAGGGTCTTTCTGTGAGAAATACGCTCCTACGCCGGGTGGTGACGGTACTCTAAAATATTACCAGCCCTTTGGAGAACGGCCCATTTCATAAAAAAAAAACTAAGGATTTTGGAAGAAATGTCCCTTTTCTGTAATAATACAACAACTGCAGAAGGGCCTTCTAATATAATCTATTTGAGATTTTTGCAAAGATTCACTATAAATCAAATATCACTGACTTATTTCTAGACAAATGTACAAAACTTATTTCAATAAACACCTAAAATTTTATCTGACACTTTTTTGTAATTTTTAAAATAATTGTATCTATACTCAAAAAGTATTCTTCATTTGTTTTATAATGTCATATGTAAACAATTTCTGATTAAACAAAAAAAAAATGCTTTCAGATGCAATAAAACTTTCTTGAAAAAAATGATTTATATTGTTCTGTCTAGTGCTCACTTCAGTCAGACTTTAGGTTGGTGGCTGCTTATTTCACTCAATGAAATTAGGTCTTAGATTTGTGAGCAATAATAACAATTAAACTAATGTTAGAAAAATAGCAGCGAAAAGATAAAACAAATTCTGAGGAATCATGAAAGTAGAAGTTTTTTGGAAAAATTAAAAACACACTTGATTAGATTACATATGTTCATTCATTGATGGTTTTAATTCAAATGAGTCACTATCAAGGAATGCCGGTAAAAGCGAACAGCATGTAGAAAGCGCTACCTGTCACCTGGTGGTTAAGTGTAAGTAAACTAAATGTAACAATTCTTTATGTCTATAGATTTAATACATTACACAGACTGACATATGTTGATGTAGATTTTATACAGAATAAATAGATAAATATTTCTGGCAAGACAAAAATGTCCTGTGATTGCAGGTTTTCTGAGCCAAACGGCGCCCCCGGTAGAACAGCACATGCTTTACACAGTCCTTATCTCCTGAAGGCCTTCCGCTGTGTTCAATAATTTAGGCCCAAACCTCCCAAAAGCTGGTTTGTGATAATTACTGCTGTTAAAGACCTTATTTAAAAAAAAAAAAAGAAAAATGGACAAAAGTGTTTTGTGTATATCGTTCTCTTAAAATGGGATGTCTTTGTCTGATTTGGAGCCATTTGATAATGGGATTACAAAAAGGTGTTTTACTCTTGACCATATATCCTTTAAACCAGTTCCCGCTGTTTACATTTCTGAGCTTTGCAGGGTCAAGACAGGGAACTGGGGCACAAAGATGCATTGAAGATCCCTCCCACCCAGATCATTTGCTCCAGAAGCTTCCCTCTGGGAGATGTTTCAAGTAGTTCAAACCAAGACCAACAGATAACCACACTGCCAATGCTACATTCCTGCTCAACCGGGACCTCAACTGTTAAACTAGTCTATCTGTAAGCTTTGAACATCCAAACATATATTTTGCATGCTTTAAAGTCAGCATGAATTCAAAATTGACCCTATTTAATTTTTATAATGCATGTTCCTTGTCCTGATCCTGTGGTTTTCATTTTTTTTAATTTAACATCATTTAAAATACTTATAATAATATTTGTACTGATGCTTTCGGTTACACTTTACTTGAAGGGGTGTGCATAAGACTGACATGACACCTTCATAATCATGACATGACACCTTCATAGTGTATTGGTGTTTAATGGGATTTATAAATTAAAAGCCTTGTGGTCAATAATGTGCTATTGTTGAACCAACTGAATAAGCACAGATGACTGATGAACATATTTAAAGCCATTAAAACCGTTACTGTGTAAAGTGTTACCATGCTTTCTAAAGAGAATTAATCTTTACATATCACATGGCTTTTGTTTGAATATGCTTGTGTGTCATCTTCGCTTGTTTCCGCGATCGTCGTTATGCCAGGGTTGTGTACGTACGTGTGGGGTGGAGATATCAAAATAGGGGCGAGTTCCTGTTAGGCTATGGGCGTGTTTGTTTTGGTGCTTTCAGATATCAACATTGTTTAACAAAAATCGCTTAGTGCACCTTTAAGTTTCTTTTTGGAAATACATCATTATAGTAAAACTGGTTGCAATTCATGTTGCCTTTAAACACCTGGACACTCAATTTATCTGCAATATTTACATTGTAGATGTATGTATCGACTGTGTTAGTGTACATGTCTCTTTTGTACACATAATTGTGACATTTGGGATCTGAGGAAAATTCAGGTAGGCTACCTCACACCTCTAATGGCGAATAAATTAAAGAAAAAAAAGATTGTAAAGGTTTACAATGGCTTGTGATCGTATGTTGCGACCTACCCCTTAATTCTATTAGAATTAAATAAATCCGCAACGATCATTTCGTTGGGCCTAAAAGAGGCTCCTGCTCTTAAACAAACTACAGTTCCCTAGTTTTCATGGGGAACGCTGCAGAGTCGCGCAGTACAGCAAGCGAGCGGAATGGGGGAGGGGCGGCAGGTAAAGTGAGACTGTGGCGCATGCGCAAAAGCGCTCCAGCCCGCTGCGTCGCTCCCCTCCCCCCCCCCCCCTTTTTTTTTTTTGCAGCATCAGTACCGCGTTCGGAATCGCATTCGTGTGCTGGAGTCAGAGCGCGCTGCGGGGCATCACTGCACCGCCACGGAGGACACACCATCACAGAAGCAGGAACAGGGAAAAGGCAAAAAGGCGTGAAATAGTGCAGAGGGGGAAGATCAGGGCGCCTTTTCCCCCCCTGAAATCACCTAAATCTGTGGGAAATTAAACTGGAGCCAGACATTCGCTAATAATAAATCCACGAACGCAGCGGACATCTCAAGCGATATTTTTGGCCAGCACGGCGGGGAAAAATGAAGGATCGCACGCAGGAACTACGAAGTGTAAGTCTGTATTCCTGATGCTTTATCCTTCATCTCCTCCCATATCCTCCGTCTCCTCACCGCAACCGGGCGTCAGCAGCTGACATCTCACTGCTGCTCGCTCACGGCTGAGCATTTATGGGCATAAGTACGGTTTTCATAAATTTGCCGATGTTTTTTCCTCACGCAATCACAAATGTAACCGTCTGCCACATCGCGCATATATTACCGTTTTTAATAGCGGCTCACACGCGCGCGCCGTTCCATGTGCGATGGATCGATTAATCGATCAAATCGGGTTATATGGCGTAATTCGCGAAATGAGCCCCCTACATTAGCATGCATGCAGACTACCTTTGATACATGTCGCCCAGGAGTGTGATCGGCTGCGGATAGTTAGCCAGCATCCTTACACTGATACGCACCATCCAAATATCTAATTCTGTGATCACCGCATCATTAATTATTAACACCGATTTTTTGTTAAACGAAAATAACATTTCACCCGCGCTTTGTTCCGTACCCTATTAACTCTATTAGATTTTGCATCGGGGAATTTTGAGCATCTCCACTAAAGCTCCATTCTGGATGCATATGTACATCTTCATCGGACGCGTTTGGATCGTTGGGTGGGATGTGCGATTATTGCAGCACGCTTTGTTCCGTTCTTAGCCGCGATGTTAAATATGAAAGGGTGTAATATTGTTGCATGCATCGCCCAAGTGAGCTAAACGAATACAACATGGCCGCCAAAGTATTCCTAGTTGTAGTCGCGACGGTATAGCGACTTAATTGCTTATTTAGTGATTTTTTTTCCAGTAATATCGAAGGTGGGCCTTGAGGCTTTAATGCCCAAAGTATTGTAGTCGCGACGGTATAGCGACTTAATTGCTTATTTAGTGATTTTTTTTCCAGTAATATCTAATATCGAA